GTCAACAATCCCCCAAATAAAACTCACTCCATGGCTGTTTGTGGGATGTTGCTATGAGCAAATTGGCTGCCGCATTCACCATTAAAACACACAATTATTACACTTCACGGTAATATCCTGTGAAGCTCTATAAGACAACGACATTAGAGCACTCATCAAATGTGGGGATTATTACTATTGCTAATGGATATATTAGGTGAGGGTTTAGAAGCAATTTCCAAATTTGTGACTAGGGAGGGGCGTTGGAATTCATTTGGAGTGGCAACTGAATTTGGATCAATGGAATCATTCAAAAAGGAACAGGATAAAAGCTGAGTAATAATAATCCTTGCATTTGATATCACATCTTCAGGATGTCTCAATGCGCTTCACAGAATATACTGTAAAGTGAATTGACTCTATATTTGACGGGCGTAGTAAAAGCACGAGGGGATATGGGGGTGGGAGAGCAGTAGAAATAACCAGAGGGTTTTAGTGGCAGACATGGGCCAAGTGGCCTATATGCTGACCATTTCCATTTTTCTGTGAGCACAAGAAGTTAATAATAATAATATTTCTTGCATTTGATACAGCGCCTTATCACGTTATTGATACGTCGTCTCAAAGTGCTTCACAGGATATAATGCAAAAGTTGGTGGGGAATGAAACAAACCAGACTCTCTTTGTTTCATAAAAGAGCCAAGCATTTGAACCTGCAAATCCCCTATTCTGACTGCTGTGCCACGTCCTATGCTGTGTGCTATGCTGTGTGCCAGGCTGTGTTATGTGCTATGCTGTGTGCTATGCTGTGCACTGAGCTGTGCTGTGTGCTATACTGTGCTGTGTTATGCTGCGCTGTGTGTTATGCTGCGCTATGTGCTATGCTGCGCTGTGTGCTATGTTGCGCGCTATCCTGTGTGCTATGCTCTGCGCTGTGTGCTATGCTGCGCTGTGTGCTATGCTGTGCCATGTGCTATGCTCTGCGCTGTGTGCTATGCTGCGTTGTGTGCTATGCTGTGTGCTATGCTCTGCACTGTGTGCTATGCTGTGTGCTATGCTGTCCCATGTCCAATGCTCTGCACTATGTTCTGTGCTATGTGCTGTGCTGTTGGGACAGCAACGATGCACCAGTTCTGCCCATGAGCAGAGACCTGTTCCTCACATATTTTCAGATAATGGGTCGCAGTCTGGCCGACAGGAAGCTGTGCCCCCACTCTGGCCGACAGGAAGCTGTGCCCTCACTCTGGCCGACAGGAAGCTGTGCCCCCACTCTGGCCGACAGGACGCTGTGCCCATACTCTGGCCGACAGGAAGCTGTGCCCCCACTCTGGCCGACAGGAAGCTGTGCCTACACTCTGGTCAACAGGAAGCTGTGCCCACAGTCTGGCCGACAGGAAGCTGTGCTCACAGTCTGGCTGATAGGAAGCTGTGCCCACAGTCTGGCTGACAAGAAGCTGTGCCCACAGTCTGGCTGACAGAAAGTTGTGCCCACACTCTGGCCGACAGGAAGTTGTGCCCACACTCTGGCCGACAGGAAGCTGTGCCCATAGTCTGGCCGACAGGAAGCTGTGCCCATAGTCTGGCCGACAGGAAGCTGTGCCCACACTCTGGCCGACAGGAAGCTGTGCCCATAGTCTGGCCGACAGGAAGCTGTGCCCATAGTCTGGCCGACAGGAAGCTGTGCCCATAGTCTGGCCGACAGGAAGCTGTGCCCACAGTCTGGCCGACAGGAAGCTGTGCCCACAGTTTTGCTGACAAGAAGCTATGCCCACAGTCCAGCTAACAGGAAGCTGTGTACAGTTGGCTGGTAGGAAGTGGTAACATGTGGGCAGCGAGCTCCACGACTGGCCGACAAGAAGCTGGTAACATGCCCCCTCCCCCCCAATGTCCCTACCATGGCAATGTCCCCTCACTGTTCCAATGTCCCCTTCCACCACTCACCCCTCCTTGCGCAAATGCAAAGGTTCCACCTTGCGTGCATAGAAACACTCCCATGTGCCCACAGACACACATGCACAGCAACTTGTGCTCAGATGCTCGCACACATGTGCGCGCAGACACATGCAAATACACACAACAACGACAACTTTATATAGTGCTCTTCACGCCGGTCGGCGTCTCCGAGAACTCACATCAGCTCACACTGCGACTCACCATCTGAAGAACATGTGAGGAACAGGTCTCTGCTCATGGGCAGACCTGGCGCATCATTACTATCCAACAGCACACAGTACAGCATAGCACATAGCACAGCATAGCATAGCCTGGCACACCACAACATAGCACAGCATAGCATAGCCAAGCACACCACAGCATAGCACACAGCATAGCATAGCCTAGCACACCACAACATAGCACACAGCACAGCACAGCATGCACACGAGCAGGAACTATAAATAGTAGCCGGCAGATCACCCAAATAAGAGTGAAGAGTGTGCAAGGGGCGGTTTGACGTGAGAAGTGAGGACACTTGTGCCTGTGAGGGACCCTTGGCCTTTGGCTGCGTGTGGAGCGGCCACAGTAGCTGACACTCTGACAGCCCGGCCCCCTCACGTGCAACCCAGCTGCGATCCCATCAACACACTCCCATCTGCCATCAGCAATTTCCATGTCACCTTCTTTGAGCTCATTTGTACTTCATTAACTGCCATTGACTTAACAAGATATATGCAAATGACACCGCAGGAGCACGCCAGCTCCCACTCCAATCAAGCCATCATGTACATACTGTATGAAAAATTAAAACTGGCCCAAACAAAGAGACAGTATTTATCCCCCCCCCAATCCCTGTCCCTTTCTCTCTCAACGTTTTACCATTTAAAGGGATTGCGTACGACAGTGTTAAGTGAAATTTACACTGGGAATTAATCAGTGGCGAGTGCTAATTTATGTGGATACAAAGCACGCGGTCACGGACAATAAGTAAATGAATCAATCTGCTGTTTGCAACCGCATGCACGCACGGATAATGAGCTGGAGAACTGTGCAGCACACTCCGTGCATCGACCCCTCGGCTTCAGAGAGGAGACTGTGTTGCCCACACTCCGCAAACCTGCAAATCACACGTGGCCCATTCATTTCCAGGAAACACACAGAGTGGAGGTGGGGGGATGGAGAAATTCAGACAGCTCCCGTCACTCCCTCCACACAGCTCCCGTCACCCCTCCACATGGCTAACTTCACCTTCACCACATGGCTAACCTCACCCACTCCACACGGCATCCGTGACTCCCCACACACCAGCTGTCACTCACCTCCTGGAATCTGTTAATCTTTAAACTCCCCCCACCCCCAAACTCTCTGGTTAGACTCAGAGAAGCTGTAACTCGCTGTGCATCCTTTATGCCATCAAACAGTCACTACACAGAGACAGATATTGAGGCGAAGTACTCCAAGACATTCTGACAAGACAAAGCACTATAAAAATGTAAGTGGCTGTTATTCTCTACTTAAAATTCGTTAAAGAGGACTTCCAGCCGGTCACCAGGCAATTAAACATCAGACAACTGGACTGATGCTGGGCCTCGAAAAGGGTGACATTCCCTTGTGTCAGCCCTGCGCAGTGGTAGCACTCTCGCCATTGAGTCAGAAGGTTGTGGGGTCAACTCCCATGTCAGGACTTGAACTTACATAGTCTAAGCTGACACTCCAATGCAATGCTAGAGGAGCTTGCAATGTCGGAAGTGCCATCTTTTGGATGAGACGTTAAACTGAGGTCTCATTTGCCTGTTCAGGTGGAGGTTAAAGATCGCCCGGCACTGTTCGAAAAGGGGAATTTCTCTCTCAGTGCCCTGGCCACCAATCTCCCAGATAAAATTGGTTATTCATTTCATGGCTGATGTGGGGCGTCACTGTGCACAAACTGGCTGCCACATTCATCCACAAAATACAGTCACTACTTTACAGTATATCCTGTCAAGCACCTTGAGATGTCTCGACGATGTGATAAACCGCTATATCAAATGCAAGGATTATTATTATTATGTTCCTGTAATCATCCTATCTAATGTTAGGATTAGCATTCGCAGAAAGACACAGCCAGCACGGAGAGTCATAGTGCGTGGCTTCAACATCTGAGGCACAGACGAGATATCATCTATGAACACAGTTTGGCAGCACTCAGTGAGAGAACCAGAAATAGCAAAATACAGGCATTCCCGAGGCTGCCTGAGACACACAGAATGTCATGGTTTAACCTGAGAAAACTCTGACCCACCCACATGCACATATCTATTCACGTCAGATGCAACATTCCCTACACAGATGCCGTGTCACACGGTCTAAGATCACGATCAAGTTTGGGTTTAAAAAGAAGATTTTAAAAAGGCAGAGGATCGGGCTATGTGCGAATGGTGCGTCAGCGGATAAAGACGGTGATGTCTGCAGGCACGCTCCCAGCTGTCAAACAATCCCCCCGTGTATTAAAGAAAGGCAGTTCATTTGCACTTATTTGAGGCAGCCCCGGGAAGAGGCTTCATTAAGAGATTTGCAAACAAGAGCAAACGGGTGACACGTGGGCTTATCATTAGCGGGTGGCTAATTGCCTCCGCGTCGTGAGTGGGGGGAACAGAGTTGTGCTCACAGGGTCTTCTGCACAGGGCAAATTAGGGGACACGTCAAAACGACACGGCAAGATCACAGGAGCTCCCGTGCCGGCCAGTCTCCACTCACTCGCTGGCTGGCTGCTAATCACAGGCTGGGCTTTGAAGGAGGAAAGACTGGAAGCTCTCCATATGCAGATGGACTTGCAAAGCTGCAAGCTCATTAAAGGCCCCCTCCTTTCAGCCAACCTCCTCTTGGGCCACGCTCCGCTCGGCCTTGCCGGCAGCTTTCCCCTAATGATGCCGTTTTGCCGCGCCAAGGCCAAAGCTAATTGAAGTCAAGTGTGCGGCGGCTCCTGTATTAATAAAACGGAGGAGCACTAAACAGGTAAAAGGTCTATCAGAGTGTTAGAGGCTAGTAAGAAGTTTCGTCTCCAATTAAAGCGAGCAGCGGGGGAAGCAGGCGACGCAGCACCTCACCTGTTTAATTGGTATTGCCCGACCACTTCCAATGCTGTCTGCTCGCGAATCCAAGTTCTTCTTATCCTTGTCCATCTCATTGCCTTTCCGAGACTGCAAGACAGAGGCGCCAACTGTAACACAGCCACCGGTCACAGAGAAAAGCATCGTCCGACCTTGACAGCCGGCCCCATCAACACAGCATGACACCGGAAAGCACTTCATGTGTCACTGTCAGCCTGGCCCAGTGGTAGCACTCTGGCCTCGGAGTCAGAAGGTTGTGGATTCAAACCCCACTTTGAGACTTGAAATCACATAGTCTAAATTGATATCCCAATGCACCGCTGAGGGGTGTTGCATTGTCGGAAGTGCTGTCCTTCAGATGAAATATTAAACTGAGGTCTATCGGCCTATTCAGCTGAATGTTAAAGATTCCATGGCGCTATTCGAAAAGAGAAGAGAATTTCTCTCTCCCGGTGTCCTAGCCAACAACCCTTCCCCCAGACAAAATTAGTTACTCATTTTATGGCTGTTTGTGGGACACTGCTGGGCGCAAACCGGCTGCCACATTTTGCCCACAAAATACACAGTCATTGTACTAAAGCACTATATCAAATGCAAGGATTATTATTATTATTATTGTCATCGAGTGGAGAAACTGCTTTTGGAGGTAAACCCAGCACCTATTTGCTAACATGATGTCCCGCAAATAACTTTTTCACCCAGTGTCTCTTCCCCTCCCCAATGAACTTGGAACATTCACTGAATTGCTGTTTGTGGGAAGTTGCCGTATGCAAATTGGCTGCTGCTTTCGCTTACAAACAGTCACTCTACTTTACAACACATCCTGTGAAGTGCTTTGAAACATCCTCCCACATTAATGACAACAACAAATTACATTTGTATCGTGCCTTTCATGTCGAGAGGACATCCCAAGGCACTGGATAGTCAAGAATTTGTACCCAAGTTGGGATCAGGAGGGGTGGAGGGTGGGGATACGAGGGTCGAAGAGTAGGGTCTTGAGATGGGCCTTGAAGGAGGCAAGGGAGAAATGACTTGGGCACTAGTGCCCAAGTAGACACCAGGAGAAACCCTCTTCTCTTTTCCAAGACATCTTTAACACCCAGCCAAACACACAGTTTAATCCCTCCTAAGCCCCCAAAACACACACATAGTATTATATTGGAGTGCCATCCTGGACATTGAGTGCAATGTGGGGCTTGAAGCCAGAGGCGAGCATGCTTCCAACTGAGCTGTTTATACATTAAAAACAGGGAACACTTGATTCTGAAAGCCTGAGCTTGCAAACACTAAGCAATCCTGGTAATAGAATTTGTAGTAGAATACAAAAGTCAGGAAGTTATGGTGAACCTTTATAAAACACTGGTTAGGCCTCAGCTAGTATATTGTGTTCAGTTCTGGGCACCACACTTTAGAAAGGATGTCAAGACATTGGAGAGGGTGCAAAGGAGATTTACCAGGATGGTACCAGGAATGAGGGAATTCAGTTATAAGGCGAGGCTAAAGAGGCTAGGATTATTCTCCTCGGAGCAGAGAAGATTAAGAGGAGACTTAATAGAAGTTTTCAAAATTATGAGGGGATACGATAAGGTGAACAAGGAGAAGCTAATTCCACTGGCGGGTGGGTCGGTAACCCGAGAACACCGATTTAAAACAATTGTTAAAAGAACCAGATGGGAGATGAGGAGAAATTTTTTCACACAGCGAGTTGTTCGGATCTGGAATGCATTGCCTGAAAGGATGGTGGAAGCCGATTCGATAACAACTTTTAAAAGCAAGGTAGATAATTATTTGGGGAGGACAAGTTTGCAGGGCTATCGGGAGAGAGCGGGGGAGTGGGATTGATTTGGATAGCACTTTTCAAAGAGCCAGTGCAGACATTATGGGCTGAATGGCCTCCTTCTATACTGTATAATTCTATGATTCTATGAACGCCAAGTAGTGCAACATGAGGCCCAGGTCTGTGGCAGTCTTTGAGAGACACAAAATAGTCAACATTTGCACAACTGGTGAGTATTGCTTTACCCCGTGTGGTTGGGCTTGCACACAGCAGGAACTCTACTGCAGGGGTTCAGCTCTGTTAGAGCTGGACCACTCCCAACCCACTTTACCAGCTGATCAAAGACGAGCCAACTGGCCAGCGAGCGAGCTGGGGAGCAGACGTCCACTTACCCTTTGGCCCCGGAGCTGTGAAGCTGCTCGATCCTCTCCCTACCTCATCATACCCTTTCTGGTCCATTCGTGCTCTCTATCTACCTCAGCGCTCAGCTCTTTACAAGGACTGAGATTATTTATTGACTTCCAGATTCCTTTCCTCTGGTTAGCAGTGTTTGTGATGAAGTTGCGGATGAGGGTTTGAGCAGCTCCGGGGGGAGATGGTGGGGAGTGGTGAAAATGGGCGATGTTGCGGACCAAGGGGCACTGCTGCAGTAGCTCTGTTCGGCCATTAGAGGGAATGCTGACACCTACATAGCTCACTAAGAACCTCTAGTGGTGAAAATAGGGCACTGCAGGACAAACATGAACATTCTTAACCTACTGACCAGGGTCCTGGCCTCAACCATCTTTCCTGGAAACTACAACAGCGCCTTTCACATCAGGAGGACGCCCCAAGGCGCTGGACAATCAGTGTTTTGGACCCCACCTGGGGGTCGGGATCAGGAAGGGTGATTGAAGGCACGGTTGAAGAGATTAAGGTCTTGAGACAGGTCTTGAAGGAAGTACTTAAATAGCAATTAGTACGAAATCAGGCCTTCTATAATTTGTATTCATGAGCATCTCTGCTCATGCAAGGAATTATTTTAGGAGGCACAACCTTTATTGCATAGATCTTGCTAATTTCTCACATGAACCCAGCCGTTCCAGGTGTTCATGATCCTGTGTGTAAAGAAATACTTCCCGGTGTCCATCCAAAACTTGCAGTTTGCACCCCTGACTGTGGCCTCTTGTCCTGCTGCCTCAGTGTATCTCAAAGTATTGTACTTTCTCTATCTTGTTTTCTGTCCTTACACCTCTACAAGGCTTCCTCACAGACGTCTCCTATCAAGACCAAAAAGCGCTAGAGTAGGGAGGTCCAACCTTCTGGCTGTTCAGGGCCAGATGCTAGATTTTAGGAATGCCCGCAGGCCACATAAGCATTATTTTATCCTGATTGGCCAGTCCTGCTGCCAGTGGAGCCTGAGCCAGTCTCCTGCATGTCATCTGTATTTGCTCGTCGGACAATGAAATTAGAAATGCTTTGCAGGTCAGATAAAATCATGCCCCGGGCCGAATCTGGCCCCCGGGCAGCCAGTTGGAATACCTTGCCTGAGAGAATCAGCTCGTTCCCCATAGTTCATCCTCACCCTCTGCACAGCCAATGATGAGCTGACAGAGCCAATGGAGGCAGATGCAAAATGCAAAGTGTGAGGGAAGCCAGGGGGAGGATTTATTCTGTGCCTTTTTTCCTGTTGCCTTAAACCTAGGTGAAGGATACTTTATATATATGCAAATTGTTGTATCCCGAGAAGTGACAGAGAGAGAGAGGACCACAATGTGTCCTGTGCTTAAACCTAGCACTGGGATGAGGTGATACTCACAGCGAATATATTGGATCGGCGTTTGGATTGTTTCCGGACTGGGGTGGGGGTGTTGGCCGTCTGTGGGATGTCGATCCGCAGCTCCTTCTGGCTCGTGCTGGGGGTCGAAGGAACAGAGGAGGAGTAGTCACTTAAACTCCCTCCACCGTTACTGGTCTGTGAACAGAGCAAGAGAGAGAGAAAAATAATAATAATACTAGCATTTGACCTAGCGCCTTATCATGTCTTTCAGACATCTCAAAGCGCTTCACAGAATATACCGTAAAGTGAATTGACTGTATATTTTGTGGGCGAAACCCAGCAGACAATTGTGCACAACAACAACGTCCTGGATTGAGGACCAAATTATTATTTTTTTTTGAAGGAATTATTATCCCCAGAAAAGCGATCCGGCAATCGACTAACAACTGGGTTCCTACCTATAGAGGTGAACAGAGGCGTGTGGAATACAGAAACCTGTCCAATGTTGCGCCGTGCCCGGGAATCAAACCGAGGTCCCTCGCTTGCAAGGCGAGTGCTCTAACAACTAAGCTGCAGGACTCCACAATCTGGGGTGAAAGCTGCCTTTACAAGCACGTCCCATCCGGTTTGACACACATCGATGGCACTTTTGACCAAAGCACACCCATCACCTATTTCCTACAGTGAATGTCAAGTCCATATCAACCAATGCAGATCTCAGTGGGGGAGCGCCACGCTGGCAACGGGTGGTCCTGGTGGTATGGAGACACACCGAGCAGTGAGGAGTACCCTCTGTGCCTACAACGCATTGTGGCCAATGCCCGATGCAGGCACGTGTGGCCAAAGCCCCAGACTTACAGCACTGAGTGCGACCAATGCATTGCTTTCCCTTTTCCCTGTTCCCTAACAGTGCCATGGGTTCTTTAATGTCCACTTGAAGAGGCAAATGGGACCTCCAAAGGACAGCACCTCCGACAATGAGGTGCTCTACCTCCCCCACCCCCCACACTGCTCTGGAGCGTGGTGAGATCAGTGTGGGGAGGGGGGCTTGAACCCCCAATCTTCTGACCTTCGACCCAGAGGTGAAAGAGCTTCTAACTGAGCTGATGCCTGGTGGGCGAGATCAGTTTATCGCCAAAGAGAAAGAGGCAACACACCGGGAGACCGAGACCGGTGGTCACTGCGAGTCTGACCTATAACCTGACACTGTGAAGGGAAGAATGCTCATTGCAAAGATGCCCCTCCCCATTTCTTGCGTATGGTAGAAAGGAAAGAGCAGGGAGCCCCCCCGACACCCCTCCCTGGACCCTGCGTACCTGACTGATGTGAACAGCCGTGACGGGCGCGGAGCACACTGAGGAGTGGCTGGGCGAGTTGGGCAGTGACTTGCAGGGGCCAATGGAGAGCTGCTGCTTTCTCCGAGTGGCCACAATCTTCTGGGCAACTGTTGACAACAAGAAAATATATATAAAAACCCAATGAAACAATTCCAAGACAAGGCAGTGGTTTGAGAACTGCCTCAAGTTTTGGAAGACCATAAAGAGAGCACATTGACTACTTCTACTACTTATAATCCTTGCATTTGATTCAGTGCCTGATCACGTTGTTGAGATGTCTCAAAGCACTGCACAGGATATAATGTAAAGTGGATTGACTGTGTATTTTATATGAAACGTGGCAGCCAGTTGCATACAGCAATGCCCCACAAACAGCCATGGAGCGAGTGACCAATTTTATTTGGGGGATTGCTGGCCGGGTACTGGGAGAGAGAGAAACTCCCTTCTCTTTTCGAATAGTGCCATGGGTTCTTTAACATCTATCTGAACTGGCAGTTGGGACCTCGGTTTATTGTCTCATCCAAAGGATGGCATCTCTGGTAATGCAACACCCACCCCCAGCGCTGCACTGGAGAGTCAGCTTAGACTATGTGATTGAACCCATAACCATGTGACTCAGAGGCAAGAGTGCTACCACTCCGCCAGACTGACGAGGGGTGATTCTCATTGGTAGGTAAAGGGTTAAGAGACAACCTGATGGATGTTGACAATTATGATGGGTTCTGAGAAGATGAACAGTGAGAAGCTATCTCCATTGGTTGGTGAATCAGTAAACTGGAAGGTAACAGTTTAAGACTGTCATACAATATATCTATAAAGCGCCTTTCACGTCGGCAGACCATCTTAAAGTGGACAGCTCATTAAATTGGATAACTAATCAAAAGCTAAAGGGGAGAGGTTAGAGAATTGTTAGGAGTGGGTTACTAGGATGTGGAATTCATTGCCAAACATGGTGGTTGAAAGAGCCTTTAAAAGGGAATTAATAATAATCTTTGTATTTGATATAATGCCCTCAAAATGCTTCACAGAATATATTGTAAAGTGAATTGACTGTGTATTTTGTGGGAAAAACACAGCAGCCAATTGCGCACAGCAGTGTCCCACAAAGTCATAGATTGCGTGACCAAATTTTTTTGAGGGATTATCCTACTTATTGCTAGGTAAACAGAGGTGTGAGGAGTAAGGAAACTTGCCTAAGGTTTTACCCTGTCCAGGAATTGAACCCGGGTCCTATCACTTGTGAGGTGAGCTCGCTAACCACTACACTATAAGCCTTTCCAAATTAGAGAAAGGTAAAAAATATAACTGGTAGGACGAGATGGAGAGCTTGTACATGCACGATGGGCCGAGTGGCCTCCTTCTGTGCTGAAAAATTCCACAATATTAATTAGGGTTTTTTTGTAAGTTTTGCCTCCTCTACAAGTGAAGGACTCTGATGTGTCTGCCACTGCTGACATCAACTCTCCCCAAATATAGAGACACCAGCTTCCTGAGGGGCCACAGAGGTGCAATTAGTCGAAATGACAAGGCAGGGAGATTCAAGTGAGAAAGAGGGAAGAGACTCGCACCGAGTCTTCCAGTGGTTTTGCTCGTGTCAAATCTGAAGCACATTTATATAGTTCAAGGATACTGAAGCTCCCAGACGCCTCCCTTAAGAAGCATAGAAATTAGAGGCATTCACAGCACAGAAGGAGGTAATTTGGCCCATTCTCCTATCTTCTTCTCAAACCCTTTTATAATCCTCCTTAATCCCACCTTTAAAGTAAACAACTTTAAACAAATATTCCTTGGGGTCTTGGAAGTGATAATAATAATCCTTGCATATGATATATTGCCATATACATTGTGAAATGTCTGAAAGGTTTCACAGAATATACTGTGAAGTGCAGTGACTGTATTTAGTGGGCGAAACGCAGCAGCCAATTGCGTACAGCAGTGTCCCACGAACAGTCGTGGAGTGAGTGTTCAAATTTTTGGGGGTGATTGTCGGCCAGGACATTGGAGGGAGAAATTTGCTTCTCTTTTCGAATAGTGCCAGGAGAGCTTTAACATCCAACTGAACAGGTGTCATCTGACTGGCAAAAATAGATCACCAAAACCCATCCACACACTGAATGGTAAGTTGAAAGGTTCAATTTCACTCAGTGAGAAGGCTGGAGTTTGGTTCCAAAACAACGCTATGCTGATCAATTAGCCTCAGCATTAGTCACCCACTGATCAATCGGCACTTCAGTTGTTGGTAACTGAAATGTTTCGAACGACGATTCTGATGCTCCGGTTAGTGCAGGATCATTTTACTATTGATTGCACAGACCTCGTTCTCTGAACACTAATAGAAATAATAATAATAATAATCCTTGCATTTGATATAGCGCTTTTCACGTCGGGAGGACGTCCCAAAGCGCTTCACAGAACACACTGTAAAGTGAATTGACTGTATATTTGTGGGCGAACGCGGCAGCCAATTGCGCACAGCAATGTCTCACAAACAGTCGTAGATTGAAAATGACCAATTTATTATTGTTTTGTTTTTTGGAGGGATTATTATTAGGCTCTGTGTGGAGTAAGGAAACTTGCCCAAGGTTTCGCTCTGCTGGGAATTGAACTCGGGTCTCTCGCTTGCAAAGCGAGTGCTCTAACCACTGAGCTACAGGACTCCACTGTAATAAGAGGATTGCTGGTCACCAAGTGTCATCCCCACCTCTTAACCCATTCCCCTACTCTTACCCCATCAGACATGACCGTGGGGGAGCGAGCACAGGCACAGACACGATAGGGAGAAAGTATGGGAATCGGATTAGAGATGCAGTGGGGGAGCGAGTAGCAGCACAGACACCATGGGGAGAGAGCAGGGGAATGAGGTAAGAGTAGAGAGCTCCAATTTCTGATATTTCTGAAATACAAATGCGGTGCTGCTTTCAATACTTTTTACATACCTTACATCTTGCAATTACCATAGACAACTGGGGCTTCTAAATTCTGGATGACAGAGTAAATAGACAGATTGTCTCCACTCATCAGGGACTCAGTGACAAGACACGCATACATACACTACCCACCAACCCCCACCCTTACAGGCACACACACATATACATCCATATATAGAGACAGATATGCACATACAGAGACACACAAGCACACCCACACATATACACAGATTGGGAATGATTTACCACTAATGCCTGTTGAAATCCATACTAAATTCTAAAAGTGACCTGTATAAATACATGATGAAGATAATATTTCAGGGGAAAGAGCAGAGGAATGGGATTAGAGAGCGCCAGTGGGGGAGCAAGCACCACCACTGACACTAAGTGACAAATGGCCTCCCCTGTACTATAATCATTCACTGGTGTGTTGTGGAGAAACTTCTTGGAATTTCACCTGTTTTTATTGCGGCCAAAGTGATTTCCCTCACTGGGCCATTTCTCTCTCACACTCTCATTATCTTCAGTAAGGACGCCATCTGATGGCCATACACACATACAACAACCACTGCAGTCTTCATACACAACAACAAAATTACATTTATTTCACGTCGGGAGGACATCCCAAGGCGCTGGACAGACAGAGTTTCCGACCTGAGCTGAGGGTCGGGATGGGGAGGGCAGGGGGGGAAGCAGGGAGATCGAAAGCACGGTTGAAGAGGAGGGTCTTGAGGTGGGTCTTGAAGGTGGCGAGGGAGGGGGCGAGAGAGAGGGACTGTGGGACGGAGTTCCAGAGGGCCGGTGCAGTGTGGCGGAAGGCCCATCCGCCGATGTGGGCCGAGCAAGGCAGGGGACCTGAAGCAGGCCAGAGCCCACTGAGCGGAAGGAGCGAACAGGATGGTAGGGGGTTAGGAGGTCGGAGAGGTAGGCGGAGCAAGAACATGGAAGGCTCTGAAGGTGAGGACAAAGATCTTGAACTGTATCCTCTGTGTGATGGGAAGCCAATGGAGTCGGGCAAGGATGGGGATGATAGGGTCATGGAGTCTAGTGCGGGAGAGGACACGGGCTGCAGAGTTCTGGATGATCTGCAGCCTGCGGTGGGAGGAGTTGGGGTGGCCGACAAGCAGTGAGTTTGCATAGTCGAGCCTCGATGTAATGAAAGCGTGCATGAGGGTTTTGGCAGCCTGCGGTGTGAGACAGTGTCGGAGCCGGGCGACGTTGCGGAGGTGGGGAAAGGAAGAGCAGGTCATGGCGCGAATGTGGGGTAGAAAGGATTGTTGAGGGTCGAACAAGACCCCAAGGTTCAGGATTGGCTTAGCAAGGTTGAGTGTGCAACCAAAGATGGTGATACTGTCAGCGCCTGAGGTGAGGTGGCGTTGATGGGAGCCAATCAGGAGGGTCTCGGTCTTGTTGATGTTCAACTGAAGAAAGTTAGCTCTCATCCAGGACTTAATGTCTGACAGAAATTCTGTCAGGACAGCAGTGGTCCTAGAGTCAAGGGTGGGGGCAGAGAGGTAGAGTTGGTCTCTCAGCTGATTTTTTCTGATCCTCCAGTGCAGTGCTGGGGGAGCGCTGCATTGTTTGAGGTGCCAGCACCGGTGATAATGCAGGAACCCCCAGGACTACATCTGTCTCAGTTGACATTTGTGTGCAATCAGATACCGAGACAAAGAAACTCCCTTCACTTTTCAAATAGTGCCAGATTGAAGGGGAAGCATTCTGGTGTTCTGCACAGCGTTGTCAGAGGTGCTGTCTTTGGGTTAACATATTAAACCAAGGTCCCGTCTGCCTGTTAATAATAATCTTTGCAATTGATACACCGTATCATGTCAGGTGCACGTTTTCTGTAAAGTGCGATCACTGTGTATTTTATAGGGTGGAATTGACAGCTATATTGCGCACAGCTGTATCCCACAAATGGAGTGAGTGACCAATTTTTATCTGGGGGATTGTTGGCCAGGACACCAGGAGAGAGAAACTCCCTTCTCGAGTAGTGCCATGGGAACTTTAGCATCCACCTGAACTGGCAGATGGGACCTCGGTTTAATGTCTCATCCAAAGGGCCTGCTGGCATCTCTGACAATGCATCAATATTATTTAACACTTGAAATGTCTCGCATCCTCTCTCTCGCCTTCCCTCTCTCCTCCTCTTCCCCTCTTCTGCTCTTTTCTTCCCCTCC